AAAATGAGTATTTTCGTAAAGGATACAAATCAAAAGTGTAACATTTTGGTTGCTTTACAAAGTCCTCATATATATGTGCAAAAGTTTCACAATGTTTTTCTCTTTGTGAGCCTCCCATCAGGTTCAGTAGCAGATAGCTATAGCTGACACTTATAGCTGAGAGAGTGTGCTCTAATCAGTAGAGGGAACATGGGTGTAATGGAAGTAATGCAGGTGTAGGACAGGACTTGGCTCAGGTCTTGTCACTTTGCAACAGAGCCAGAATCGGGGAAGCCCCTTCCACTCAGTTCCATAGCCTGGGTGAGGAAATAACACTGATGTCTAAATGTCTTACTTTGTTTTGCTTTAATTGTGGGTGGAGTGGTAAAGAGATAGCCTTTAAATGGGACAAGTATCACTGTGAAAGGTGATTATGGTGGCTGAACACTATATGCCAATCTAATATTCTTTGTATGATGGATGCCATCTTTTTGTAAACTTTCTTAGAGAATGATCTGGAGAGGGAACCTTGCGGTCATTTCATCCATTCTTTCAACATTTACTGATCATCTTTTACATGTGAGGCACTGGTTTGGGTGTTTGGGATCCAAAGATGAATACACCCCCCTGCAGGAGGAGTGGGTAGAGTAGGTTTCCTGGAATCGTTAATGTGTGACCTGAACTTTAATGGGCTGAGTTGAAATTGGCCAAAGGAAAAAGAGATGGAAATGGAATAGCACCATCAAAGGCATGGAAGTAAGAAACAGTACAGCATGTGAGCAACTACGAGCAGTGTATGAGGAACAGTCTTAACGTGTTTTCATTTCAAGTCATAGATTACTGGGATTACACAATAATAAAACCTGTACTGTTTCTGCTAAGTACAGGGAACACATAATTTTGTAACTGTAAAGGTTACAAGAGTAACCTCTAAGAATTCAAAGCAATAATAGGTACTGCTCAGGGCTAAAGTTTCTGGTAGTTATAGTCATAGAGGTATTTTTTTTATTCCTTGGGGTTTAAGATATTGTTGCATCTCTTAGCTAGTTTCACATTATAGCTATTCAATAGCTCTTTGCCATCTTTTAAAGAAAAGAAAAACAATGAGAAAACAATTCTTCATGTTACTGTAAGGCACTGAGAATAAAGATGCATGCATGCTAAAATACTCTGGATATGTACATTATAGAGATCTGTTCATTTATTCATTAAACATAAGGCTGAGACACATTGCTAGAAATGTGCCATTCTTTCCTACACCCCTCCTGGCTGTGATGCACCCTTTTAAGTTTGAATTGTAGGTCTCAATATGACTGTGATACCACATTTCTCTTTCAGTTTTCTTTTTCCATCATGATGCTGGATTTTTTTTTTTTTTCTCTGTGTGTCCTACCTTTCTCTTGGAGTTAAGATCTTGCTGTCATAGATGCAGAATAGGTGAATATGGTGAGTTTGGGTATACATTTAACAATAAAGTAATTCATAATATTCCACTTAAAGCCATAAATATATTGAGGTGACCACACGACAATAAAACCACTATAGCATCTGCTAAGTGATATTGACAAGTGGTGCAATCATCCCTTTCAGAGCTGAGCAGAGACTATGACCATAATAGAAGTACTCAAATCTAGGCTAGGAAAGAAAGTTTCCTGTTTCCTGAATTAAATGTAGTTTCAAATTAGGCTTTTTTGATTTCTTTCTGCTCAGAAAAAAAAAGAAGAAAACTTAAAAAAAACTCCTTCTAAAAGCATTTTTAAATCATTTTTTACACTAAGAGAAAATTATAGTCTTGGAACCAATGTTTGGCTCTCTTCGAAAAAATGGAAAAAGTCCAGTGGCTGCTCACATATGTTCCCCAAGTAGATGCTCAAATGTGGAAAATGAGCAAGTTACCTGGAGATAGCACATAAGATTTGAATACCTGGAATTCTACATTTGTCAAGTATTAATACATACATATTTGAAAAACTGAGTCCTCTTTTTTAAAGGGGTGACCATGCCTCAACCTTAGGCTGTAATCCTGAACATAGCTCTCTGAAATACCTGTGTTCTCATGAGTGGTTTCCCTTCCTCCCTTACCTCAGAGCTGCTTTAGGATCTAGGTGAATCCATGTTCTCACATGTATTGAAATCAATGGCAGTTGTAAACAAGACAGATATAAAAGAATATACGTTAGATTCAACATGTGAAGTCTTTTTAAAAATGCCCATGCATATGGAAATCAATGTTGAGTATTCGTGTTTTTATAACTTTTAGGATATTGTTCTCAAATTTGATAATCAAGTGTATTTATTTTATTTTTAAAGTTGTTTGAAGTAATCTCTGCACCCAAGATGAGGCTTGAACTCATAGCCCCAAGATCAAGAGTTGCATGCTCTACTGACTGAGCTGGCTAGGCTCCCCCAGATTTACTTTGAAGATAGCTTTGAGCTATTTTGCCTCAAGCAGTAATAATTATTCAGCCATTGTTAATGTCAGTCATGTGTACATATACACATCTGAGACGCAACTGAGGCCAGTCCCCGACAGCAGTAGAAGTAGAATCTCAGCTCACATGAAAGTTCATTCATGTAGTCCTGATGCAGCTTGCTATGTAGACAAAACTATTTTCATACATATTTTTTGCTGTTTTATGTATAAATGAATGATGCCAAAAGCCAAATTTAAATAGGAATTAATATTTCAGGTAGATCAAGTCTTCTTCCTGAACCTCCCATTTCTGCTCATATTTTCACCATCCTTTTCGTCCACAGTGCTCCTGCACTGGAAACCTTGAGTTCTCTCCGTTCTTCCACTGGCCACCTCCATACCAAATTAGTCACAAAGTCCAGAAGCAAGCCTCTAATTTTGCTTTAACCCACTTGTACACTGAACTAGTTCAGTACTCTTTCTTTCAATCCTGGATCTCAACCAGTAGGAATGTTGGCTGCCCTGCTTTCTTTTTGACTGGCCCAAGGCACTTCCTATGTATTGCCAATCAAATTCCTTAAACTTGTTTTGATAAGGTTATTCTTCTGTTCAAAACAAAACACAACAAACATACCATGTCTCCCTTTCTCTGCCTGACTTATGGGGAAAAAAATCCAAATTCTTTGGCCTGGAGTTCAAGATCTGCTGAATACCCTGTGAATACTTTTATTAGTGTCAAGTTCCTGTTATTCCCAGCATGGAGTATATAGAAAGAATACACCGGATAGTTTTTGCGGGCTATTTTCCCCTTTTTAACTTTGACATAGGCCTCCAGCAACTGAGTTTTGTCTATCATATATCAAAATCTAGCTCAAACATTACATTTTCTGCAGACCATCCCACATTCCTTCTTTAGGAAGTAAAAACACATATTTAATAATTTTTTTTATTCATCCTACATTATTAACCACTTGCTATGTTCTGAATATAGAAACATGAATATGGTACCCCACTTCAAGGTACTTCCTTGAGGGCATTATTCAAATAAACAGCTGTAACATTGTGTGATCTATTCTACAATACAATTCTACACAGGTACCAGTGAATTCCAATGGAGGTTGTTGTAAACTCAGTGGACAAAAGTGAGGGTTAAGGAAAGTTCTATTGTAAATGAGTCTTGAGTGTCTTGAAAATAGTGGTAAGACATTTCAGTCAAAGGGAATAGTACTATAAAGACATGGAGACTTGAAACACACAGGAGTGTTTAAAAGCTAACAACAAATTTGGTTTAGCTTGAGAGTAGATATAAGGGACCATCTTATGAAATATTGGTTATGCCATGCTCAGAATTGTGCTTCACATGGTTATGCCATGGTCAGAATTGTGCTTCACACATAGTGGGCATTTACTTGCAACAACATAGATGGAGCTGGAGTGTATTATGCTAAGCAAAATAAGTCAGAGAAAGACAAATACCATATGATGTCACACATATGTGGAATTAAAGAAACAGATGAACATATGGAGGCAAGAAGGAACAAAGAGAGAAGGAAACAAACTATATGAGATTCTTAACAATAGAGAACAAACTGAGGGCCGATGGACGGAGGTGTGTGGGGATGGGCTAGATGGGTGATGGGTAATAAGGAGGGCACTTGTGATGAGCACTGGGTGTTGTATGTAAGTGATGAATCACTGAACTCTACTCCTGAAACCAGTATTGCACTATATGTTAACTAACTAGAATTTGAATAAAAATTTGAAAAAAAAGGAAAAAATAAACATAGTGGGCATTCAATAAGCATTTATTCAAAGAACAGATGAATGAATCATTTTATCCAGTACAGGTATATTAAACCTTTGTGCCTAAATATTTAATATTAACTAATTTATTAGTCTTCACCTGGGCTCATTGAAAACAAACTATGTATTCACATTGTTTTCAGTACTCCATATGTGGTTGATCTTTAATGTTATTGTAACAATTAGAAACAGTCTTGCCATTTGAGTGTGGATGGACTTCTATGGGGGTATTACACTAAATGAAATAAGTCAAACAGAGGAATACAAATGCCATATGATTTCATGTTAGATGTGGAATTTTAACACAAACAAAGCAGAAACAGACTCAGAGAATTACATACAGAGAACAAACCAGTGGTTGCCAGAGGGGAGAGGGGAGGCGGTATGGGCAAAATGCGTGAAGGGTAGTAGGAGGTAAAGACTTCCAGTTACACAGTAAATAAGTCATGGGGATGAAAAGTATTGCATTGGGAATAGAGTCAATGGTATTGTAATAGTGTTATAGGCTGACAGATGGTAGCTATGCTTGCCGTGAGCACACCATGATGTGTGGACTTGTTGAGTCGCTATGTTGTACTCCTGAAACTAATGTAACATTGTGTGTCAACTATACTTTAATAAACATATATATATATATATATATATATATATATGTCTTTAATATATATATATATATTTAAATGCTCAAAAACATAAACTAAAAAAAATAAGCATTCTTACTAATGTGAGTGACAAAAGTTGCAAGTTCTTAGAGTTAACATATATAAACAAATGTTCACAAATATTTGTGTTTTTCTTTTTCTAGGGTCAGACATTGTTCAATGGTTAATAAAGAACCTAACTATAGAAGATCCAGGTAAATAAATCATTTTCCCGTTGATAGAATTATTTTCTTTGTGGTTTTAAGAAATATGTTTTTCTCAGGGCTAATATGACAAGCAAGCCAATCTGAAAAATTGTAATTACATCTAAACTATGCTTTTAGCATTTATACAAATTTTGTGGCAATCAACATATATTTAACTAAAATTTATTTAGTGTATTTTAACAATTTTTCACATATTTAATGTTCCATTTCATAAAATTTGATTCAGATGATTGGCAATTGCAGAATGGGTAATCTGTATACATGCTCGTAATTGATTGTAGATATAATATATGTGATTATATTATATATGACTATGAAGTAATGAAATTGCCCTTCATAAAACACATAAGGGTAAATTTCATTAATTTATAATCTTTCCTTAACTTCATTTTTGCATGAGGTTGAAGACAATGTTATTTGTAATTTTGATTCTTTGATCATGCCTACATGATTTTTTAGTGCTCTTATTTAAGTCATGGAGCCATTTACTGTGGTGGACATTATGTCTGTTCTGGAGCACTGAGCTAATTTCCACAGTTTGGGAACAGTTTCTACCAGCTCACATTGTGCATTGCCTAGAACAAATTCTTCATATGGAAGGCATTTAATGGCTTTTTTAAAATGTCATGTAAGAGCTTTCACATGCAGTAAACAGTTTACATCCCTAAAGTGAAAAATAAGATGTGTTTTGTTTAGAGAGGATGCTGAGAAATCAAACAAACAAAAAACTTACAAAAATTGGTATTACAGTGACTGAGAATGACTTGGTAGGGAAAGAGGGCAATACACCAACCACACAATAAACTGTCACATCAATTAGAAAAGAGTTCAGCATGGCTTTTGCTGCTGCCTGGGTTGGTTACCACCTTAGAATGGTTTAGAAATAACAGTACATTGAAAGGCAAAGTTTGTATTTTTCCTTCTTTTAAGCTAACTTTATAAAGCCATGTTATCAGAAACTGTAGGTATAATTTCATACATAAATGCCTGTGCACACCCCCTGCTCATCTGGCATGTGAGCTTTTAGAATACCTATCCTAGTAGGTTAAAAAGGATTAAAACAATTAAAGTTGAAACACCTATGGCCAGCATCATATTGTTACTAAGTGAAAAGAGGAGATAGTTACTGGCATAGGGAGCCACAGTCTTATCAAGTTTACATTTTAGCCTCATGTCAGTCTGACTTTACAAACTGTAGCACCAGACCAAAGCCCCATTTGGCACAGTCACTGAAAACCAAGAAACTACTGATTTACAAGAAATATTATTGCTCAAAGGGTGAAGTGGATTCAAGAATATTTCTTGTAAGCTAAGACCAAAAGTGCACTTTGGTAATAGTCTAAGAAGCAGGAAACAGGTACAGATATGATAAGCCAGTAGGAAACAATCATTGTTTATAATTTACACATGAGATACAATTTTAGCTATAATGTGTCTGAAAACTGATTTTATTTGGCTGCTCAACAGTTTAAGGAAATTGTACAGCTTCATTAGAAGGTACATGGGAAAGATAAATTCAATCATATCCAGGAAGGACATATATGTTCTTTAGTCATATTTATGACTGGCCAAAAAAACAGTTTTTGATTGGTTGATTGGTTTGAATGAACTAGTTTAACCTCTGCAGAGTAAAAGGCTAGATTTTAAGAAGAGTGAGAAGCATTGATGACTGCTCTCAAGATATAACAGATGTGCACACAGAAATGAGTCACTCTGGCAGCATGATTCTGATTAAATATGGTCAAGAACATAACTGACATCATTAAACTCACTCTGATGGATGCAGATATGAAATTAATCGTAGTATTTTGGAATTGCTCATAGAGACTAAATAATTGTTATAATAAAAGGTCTAATTTTAACCATACAAATTTTCTGAAAATTTCAAAAGAAGACAGGAACTTCTGTCAGGCTTCTATCTCGTTGTGAAGTGGTTGTTTGGAGACCTCTAGGATTGTTGGAAGTTCTAGATGTCAATCATTTTTGAAAGGATTTTATGGCAAGTTGGAAGAAGACACCAGTTCCTGGGGAAAGGAGCAGGTTCTGATGCCCATCTGGGGACAAGGGGCGAGAGTTGCACCGTCAGGAGGCTGTTGCAATCTAATCCAATAGATTAGTCTAATAGTATATTAGACTTTGGAGTGATGTGTTTTGGCACCCTTCCCTAATTTTTAATACTGGATGCAGGTTTCTGTTTGTGTGATTTGTTGTTGTTGTTGATGAGTTAATAGTTATAAAGTTAGCTTATGTTTTTGTGGTGTGAAGAGTCAATACTTTTATTAATACCTTTCAACTCTATTGCTGAGAACATAGAATATGTATGAAAACACAAAGCCCAGAATAAATTGCATTAGTCTCAGAGTTAGAGTCTAGCTGATAAAATAAAGTGGTACTTTGGTTTCATAGAGAGGAAATTGATGCACATCAACTGTTGGATGGGGGCAGGAGAGTAAGAGGAGGAATTTAGCCCTTGGTGGATCTCTGTCTATATCGGCACCTACTGGGAGGCATAATGTCCACCACCAATGTCTTCAGTTGGTGGTCCACTCCATTGCTTCTGTGTGATTTCATGTTCACATTGACAGGACCTCTTCTGGCTGTCTATAATCTTTGCTTCTACCAAGCTTAGATTGGGGGCACACCAAGTGATGCTGCTTCACACTGGGAAAGTACGCTGTGCTTCCCAAGACCCTATGGTACTTTTCTATTTTACTTTTGGTGGTACAACAATATTCTGCTTCTCTCCTATCATCCTGAGGTATGGGGTTCTTTAAGGATGTCAAAACCCTTTATGCCTGGACACACACACAGTCCTTGCAGTATGATCCTTCTGGATTACGAGGTCTCTATTTGGGAAACAAGTATGTAATACCTTTTGCTTGTTTTTCTCATTGCTTGAAACAGTATTCTATCATATCAAATAGCTTTTGCTGTGTAAACTCAATGGCTTAAAATAAACAACCATTTTATTTAGTTTATAATTCTGTGGATTGGCTGGTCACATTTTCTGGGGGTTTGTTTGGCTGATATCTGGTGGGCTTTCTTCTTCTGGATTGTAGCCAGGTGGTTGGGTGGATGATCTAGGATTTTTTGGTGTATTCGATACTGGGTAGGTTGTCAGCTAGGCGAATCTCATTCTCTCACCCTTTGGCCGGCTGGCATTGGTGTCTTACTATAGTGGCTTGTACTTAAGTCACATTTTCTATAGTTTCATCTGCCAAGGCAAGTACCATGGCCAAGTCCAGAACCAGTGTAGGGAACGACTATCCAACAGCATGGGTACAGAGGTATGTGAACAAATTTGGGCCATTACTGCAAAAGTCTTCCACATCTGTATTTCTTCTGCTTTTCAGATCTGCCTTTCTGTGATATGTATTATTATATTTTGGCTTCTGTTTGCAAAATTTATCCTCCAGAACCTATTCATCATTTGTTAGTAAATATGCTTTGCGTCTAGTATCAATCATGTCATTAATTATGGATGATATTTTGAGAAAATTTATCAAAAGGCAAAGCTTCAATGAAGTTTACATCCTTCACAAAATGACTGGCAGATATTAATAACTTCTTGACATCACTCTGCTCATTTGTAATCTTTGCTGCCTCTCACTGGAAGAATCACCCTTGCCAAGCTCTTGGAGTGATGCTGACCAAGGTGAGGAGTACTTTAAGATCCTCAGTCCAATGAGTAGCCAAAATCTGAAATGAGCCTCACTATGACTACTAGATATTAAAGAATATTAAGTACATTCTCTGTGTTCCCTTAATGGTACCCTGCTTGCTCCACTTTTCTCTTTCTCTCCATCCACCCATGCTTCTTCAGATCTCAGTATTCCTTGAGACGCTACCCGACATTAAAAATGAGTCGGGGCGCCTGGGTGGCGCAGTCGGTTGAGCGTCCGACTTCAGCCAGGTCACGATCTCGTGGTCCTTGAGTTCGAGCCCCGCGTTAGGCTCTGGGCTGATGGCTCAGAGCCTGGAGTCTGTTTCCGATTCTGTGTCTCCCTCTCTCTCTGCCCATCCCCCATTCATGCTCTGTCTCTCTCTGTCCCAAAAATAAATAAAACGTTGAAAAAAAAAATTAAAAAAAAAATGAGTCATAGGCTCTGAAGACATACTTGAGCTCAAGTCTTGATTCAAGTACTTACTGGCTGTAGGCATGGGCAAGGTAGTTAATCTCTCTCTCTTTTTATTCTTCTTCAGCAAAATGCTTTTATTTTTTTTTTATTTTTTATTTTTTTTATTTTTTATTTTATTTTATTTTTTTTATTTATATATGAAATTTATTGTCAAATTGGTTTCCATACAACACCCAGTGCTCATCCCAAAAGGTGCCCTCCTCAATACCCATCACCCACCCTCTCCTCCCTCCCACCCCCCATCAACCCTCAGTTTGTTCTCAGTTCTCAACAGTCTCTTATGCTAGCAAAATGCTTTTAATACGGTGTTTTGTGAAGCTTAAATGAGTCAACATTCTAGTGTGCCCAAATCTTGATTTTATTTTTAAATAGGCCAGAGTCCTTTAAAACTCTGAACATTTGCAGGCATATTTAGCTAACTTGGATTCTTTAAAATGCATGCAATTTTTATACTAGCCTTCAAACACAACCTATTCATTCTATGAAGACTCTCTCTATAATGCAGCTCCCAATTGAATTTCTTTACCATGAATTATTTACACTTGCTGCTACTCAATTTATTGATTAATTTTATCTTTTATTTTTTATTTTACATGTTAGCCTTATTGCTTTAGTCAAATCTAAAAAAAAATCTTAATGGCAGAAGACATACATCCTCTCCAGTCATTGACTGAAGTGTCAAGATCAGTCAGTTATCAATAATCGCTTGATTTTTACTAATGGGAATCCACTGAAGTGACATTAAGTTTTTGATGACCAATGATTCAGTTTGTGTTCCCCTAAATAGATGAGGAAAAGTGAAGAGAAAGAAATGTCAAATGAGTTTTTCTTTATCTAAACCAAACCCAA